CCCCTCCTGCCGCCGGCGTGGGCCGCGGTGGCGGCGGGCCCAGTGCCAAAGGTCCTGGGCGGGGGGAGGTGGCGGATCCCATCTGAGGCGGCGGGGGCGGCCCTTCTCATGAGATCCAACGGCGGCGGCTAGGACGGAGTATCCGGGCTGTGCGGCGGGGGCCCGAGCACCATCACCGGCGGAGCGGCGGCCCTGCATGGACGGCGACGGTGGCAGTGCCCCATCCGGCAAGGTGGGCTGTCCTGCTCGTGATGGTGACGACGGCTACTGCGGATCCAACGCCCCGTTTGGATCCGTCGCGGGGAGGCCTTTCGCCGACCGGCGGCGTGTGGAGGGACCGGTGAGGAGATGCTGGATCTCTGCCGGAGTATCGACGGCAACATACGTCTTCGTGGCGAGGTTCCGCTCGATTCCAGCCAGCCACGAGGTCGGAAGACGTGGCTTCCGATGAAAATCGCGCCAGACTGTGGTCTTGGCGGACGATGGCGGCGTCTCAGACGTCGTTTCCTTCTAGAGGCATCGTCGTTGCAGGTCTCATAAACCTGATCGGGAAGTTCCGGGGGAAATCCTAGATCCGGGTCTACCGGATCGGACGATGACGGTGCTATCGGTATCGTTCTCCCTCATGGGGGCATCGTTTTGGAGCGAGTGCTGGTTGGAGGGGACAAGAGGAGGAGCGGTGTTTCATCTGCTCCATTGATGACGGCGGATCTCGGCGGCGTGGCGCAGTGGAGACTCGGCGCCTGATGAGCGGAGATGGACTCGCGCAGGAGGGTGACGCTGCCTGGCGTCATGGTGGCGTCGGCGGTAGTTGGACCGGCCAAGGTTGATGCAGCAGCACAGCTCTGAAGATGAATTCGTGGCAGGTGGCTGCGGCGGCCTCATACCCGGCAGGGGTCCTGGTTGAGAAGCACGCCCGACTGGTGGGTGCCCATACGCGGCAGGCGTCCTGGGTGGGACCTCAAGTCTTTAGATGTTTAGGTTTGGCTGCGTGGTCTGTTTGGTATTAGGCCCAGACTTTCAACGCCCCTACATCAACTGGATAGGGATACCGACAGTTGTTGCTTAGTTTGGTGGCTTTAGACTTATTGTTGTATGACTCTGTATGGTCTTGTGTCAATAATTAATAAAGTGGCCGTATGCATCGTCCAGATGCTGAGGCCGGGGGTCGTCCTCCTTTTCTAAAAAAAAAAAGTCTTGACCAGTGTCCTTTTCCCTGACCCAATGAAGGTGTTGCTGTTGGCTGTGGGTGGCAAGCATTGGTAGCATACATCAACATTGGATGCTATTACTTCATCGGCGTACCCCTTGGCGCGCTCCTGGGCTTCAAGTTTGACTATGGAATCAAGGTACGTACTGTTTTACTCTCAAGCTAGTACCGCTGGTTTCAAAGCGTTGATTCACCAAAGATGGCAGAATCACCATTCATGTCGAGTTGACTCATCAGTTGTCAACTGTCAGTAAATTAGCTTCTGCATGTGTGATGAACTGCACTGATGATAGAGGTTGCATACAGGGGTTGTGGGGAGGCATGATTGGAGGCACGCTCATCCAAACAATTATCCTATTGTGGATCACATTCAGAACTGATTGGGAAAAGGAGGTAGGAGCAAGCCTTATCTCTTATTGTTAGATCATCACGTTCGTCGTTAACCATCCAGGCCGTTACACTGTCAGACGATTCCCCAATCTCACATGCTAAGCCGCATCTAAATCATGTGCCAACTCATTATTTTAGCGCAATCATTTCGCCAAGTGCGTGCATGCTTTGTATGATCACTCGGGTTGTCTCATCTGTCCTCTCTTAATTTAGCATTTAAAAACTAGTAGTACATTTCATTATTTTAGATCATTATTCACCCAAATGCATCCTTCTATGATCATCACTTCTTATTTTTAGAAAATTGGCTTCTGTCATCATCTAGGTTAGGCTGTTTCAGTTGTCCCTCTCGAACTTCACTGATAAAGTATATTGCGAATTTTGTGTCCGAACGTAGGTCGAGGAGGCGAGGAGAAGACTGGACAAGTGGGACGACGCAAAGCAGCCGCTTCTCGCTAACGTGCAGCGATGATGCCCGAAGAAGATTAACGTTTATGCTGCTGCAAGTTCGGCAGATTGATCCACTCACCAACTTATGTTCGGCATTATCTCAGTTTTTTTAGGAAATGTTGAGCATCGTCCTTGTCGTCTCCCGCTGCTAGCTGCATTTTTTGTTCAATCAAGTTTACAATGAGATGGTGCTCCTTCAGGATTCACATGCTATTCTGAACTCTCCCCACCTAAAATAGTCTCTCGGGGGCTTGGGCACTACCCTGTTGTTTTACTAGAAATATCGACCGATGGTTTTTACGTATTTCTTTGTGAAACAGTTAAGCACAAAGACAATAAATCCGCAAAAAAAAAGCACAAAGACAACAAAATGTGCAACTGGCCTTGTTTGTAGTAATAAAGAGCAAAGTAATCCGGTGGTATTGACCTATCCTTGCCCTGCAGGCTGCAGACCTGTTCTTCAGCAAATTGGCCTGCGTACCTGATTAGAGTAATGTTGGTGGAAGGGCAGGAGAGGGAACAACCGAAGAGACAAATGAGCAGCTCATAACCTTGTCCCGTCCGTTGATCCTTGCGCAGCCAGGAAGGATCCAAGGACAGATTTAGCAGTAACTAGCCCATCAAGGCATTATTCAGCATCCAACGAGGATATCTTTTTTCGGACCTAATCAAACGGTAACACCAATGCTCCTTGGAATAACAGTCAGATCCGGGGAGGCAGCAGTTCAGGCTGCCACGTTGAACTGGTATACCCATTCGTCAGAAATCACTGACTTTCCTCTCTGGAAAAATAATCATGAACTCGATTACATGTTACGTATTTCCCTGCGAGAAGGAAGCGCAATCGAGCTGCACGCAATTTTATCAAAAAGATGCTTAATCCCATTACATACATAATTAATTCACCGATTCCACGAACCCTGGGCCTGCTTAACCTTTGATCAGAATATTGAGGCGGCCCCTCCGCCGGTTCTTCCTAGGCCAAACAGGTGGGAAGCGTCGGAAGCTCGCTGACCTTTGAGGATGCTAGAAGAACCTTTTCTCGTGCCCTTGCTTCAAGCGATGCATCTGGTGCCGGCCTGCCTAGGTCCGGATGCGCCTGCCTCTCACAAGACTTATTTATCATTTCCGCTCCCTCCCTACTGTACCTACCTTCTCTCTCCAATAATCAACAGTTGACTTAGCGGCTGATTCGAGCACCATTAACAATTTGATTGACATGCCAATTGAAAAGGATGGCCATCTTCTCTTCATGGAAAAAACAATCTGCATCTTTGACAAGCCAAATTTTGAGTTTGGTTTTTCTGATAATGAAAGATTTACTCCTGGTTTCAGCACCGACTCCTGGTTTGTCAGATGATTTTCAAGAATCAGATCGACTTCTTTTCTTTCTTTCTTTTTGCGGGGTAGATCGAGTTTTTTTCAGCTTATCGATTCTCCAACCAGGATTGTTTAGAATCACCATCAATGTTTTAAATAGTGGGCTACGAAAAATAGCGGCGGGTCTCCAAATCAGCTAAAGCAGGCTAAAACGGGCTATAGCGGGCTATTTGTGAAGCCGATCATTTAGCGGCACTATAGCCGGCTATTTAAAACTATGATCATCATCAGTTCTTTTCAGCTTTTGATTCTCTAGAATCAGATTTTCAGAAACTTCCCACAAAATCAACCATCGAGTTCTTTTCTAAGATTGTGGTATGAGATTGTTGGATAAGTTATGTGCTCAAATGTCACATCCCTAGTTCTGGTATGACCTAGACTAGCTAGTCATTTGTGCATCATGTTTAAAATTTCATTTAATTTTGAAATGAGGATTGATGGAACCCTCAGAATCATTTTTTTGAAATAACCCCAAATAAAAATTGCTCCAAAAAGGTCCAAGAAAATGTTCATGTTGCCCTCTGAAAGTATTGGACAGAGATAAAAATCAAACCAATATTTTTAGGAGCTCATAAGTATTTATTTTGGCCATTTGGAATTAATGCATAAATATTTGCATTGGAAATATATTAGTTATATATATTAATATATGTTCAAAAATTATGCCACCTGTTGGGGAGCTCTGGAATAATGCCACTAGTTCCTACAAAAATGGGCATAAGGAAATAAATTGATTTAGTGTTATTACTAAATCAAAACATATGTCAGAATATTAGAAAAGAGACAAAAAGAGGAGAAACTTACCTGGGCCTCCTCCCTGTGCAGCCCAGCAGCAGCCAGCGCCGGCCCAGCCCACTGGCCCCCTCCTCTGTCGTCTTCGTCCTCGACAGGGGGATGGGCGCGTGCCCGACGCGCGCGCGCTCCGCCGCGCCACGCCACCAGCCTCCCTGCCTGCCTGCCCTCTCCCCTCCTCGTCTGGATGCCCCGGGAGACGCCACGCCCCCCCCGTACCCTCTCGCTCTCTCTCGTTCTTTCCCCCTCCTCTGCTCTCTCTCTCGCGCGCAGCCCGAGCGGAGCTCATCGCCGCCGTCCATCGTTGCCGCGGCCACCGGCCTCCCGTCGCCCTCCGCCCGAGCCTAGAAGCTCCGCCTCGTCGTCCGCATCGTCCTCGACGAGCCAAGTGACCAGGGACGCGCTCCATCGCCGACACCGTCGTCTTCTTCATCGCCGGCCGCCGTGGATCCCCATCGCCGCCCCGCCGTCTTCAGTGCGTCCCCGAGCCCGCTTCGACGCCCGCTGCAACCGCGGTGTGCTCCGCCACCGTTTCCCCCTCTCCGCTTAGTCACCCGCACGCCGTAGCCCTTTCCCCACCACGGCCGAAGCTTCCCGCCGCCGTCCATGCCGCCGTCGTCGTCTCGGCCCGCCTCCGCCCAAACCGAGCACCCCATCGTGCTCCCGGTGCCACGAGGGTGCCACCGAGCCCCTCAGGTGGCCTCCCCATACCCCGCAGCCCGTTCCCGATCGAAGCCGAGCTCCGGCCGCCGCCGCGAGCTTTGCTCCGGCGAGCTCCGGCCTCCCCAGCTCCTCCCACCTGCCCCACCAGATGCGCGAGAGCCCGGGCTACGCCCCGGTGCTCTCCGACGCCGTCCCCGTGGCCGGTATCGCGGACGCCGCCGCGTGCAGAGGTCGCCGCCAACGACCTCACCGGCCTGATGAGTGGGCCCCGTCGGCCAGGTGATTAGCTTAGTGCTAATCACCGTTAACTAACCCCCCCTGACACTGACAGTGGGCCCCAGCGCCACTAACCTTTTTAATTAGGATTAAACTAACCCTGTTTAACCCCCTGTCACTGACATGTGGACCCCACACGTCAGGTTTGACCCCAGTCAGCCGCAGTTGACTGCTGACGTCGTGCTGACGTCATGCTGACGCAATTATTTATTTTCTGGAATTAAAATAAATCAGGAAATTCCAAAAAATTAGCAAAACTTCAAAAATTCATAGAAATTCAACCGTAGCTCAGATTGAAATAATTTATATATGAAAAATTATCAGAAAAATGCAACCTATCCATCTGTACTAGTTTCATGCATGACAAACCAACTTATACATGCTGTATATGAGAAAACACATTATGGCATTTATAAGAGTTTACTTTGGAGATGCATTTGAGCTTTTGGTTCAAATGGACTTCAAACCAAATGAGTACTAGTTGCATTAGCTCAAACAGCATCACATCTTCATGCCATGTTCATGCATCATATTGTTGCATATGTTTGTGTATTGATTGCCGACACTGTTCCTTCTCGATAGGTCTTGCTCCGGAGACGTTCCAGAGTACCTGTCTGTGAAGCAGTGCCTCCCTTGTTGATTTACCAGGCAAGCAAACCCCCTTGTTCATTCCGATAAAATCCTACTCTCTCGCTCCTGCTCTCAGTTATTGCATTAGAACAATAACGATTCATCTGCTACTTTGTGCTGCGGTAGTTGAACCCATTCCTCTGCATGACCTGTCATTGCCACAGTAAATAGTTGAAACCCACTAGCATGTGTAGGAGTTGATTGAGCCATGATGTGTTCCTACCATGCTATGCCTGCTATTGCTTAGAGTTGTGTCAGGTCTGATTCATTGGGAATGAATTGGAGTGTTATGATATGTTCAGATGCTGAGAGTGAAGTGTGTGAACACGATTTGGTAAAGGTAGCGGTGAGAGGCCATGTAGGAGTACATGGTGGGTTGTCTCACTGGAACCGTCCTTAAGCACTGAGTTCTATGTATGTTGTCCAATGACTCGATACTACCACACATTGGGTTCCGGTAACTCGACCCCTCTCGACTTATTAACCAACTTGATCTCTGTCCAGGAGTCGCAACTAGTTTCTGGTGTTTGTAGGTAGTGCTATTTTTCTACCAAGTGGCACCCGGCAGGGTGGGCTTGGGACAGACTAGGCACACGTGGCCTGGTGTACCGAGTGGCACCCGGATGGTGGGCTCGGGAACCCTGCACACATCGTTTGGGGCTGTGAGCGACACCCCGGCCGGATCTTCTTGCGGATGGAACCCGAATAGGCGATAAACCTGGGCTAGAGTCTTGTGTGGTTAGTCAGGTCGTGGCCGACACCCTCGCCAGGCTTCCGCTTGAAGGTTGCCGAGATACATGACGTGTACATGGCGGTAAGTGGCGAGAGCTTGTGTGAAGAAGTACACCCCTGCAGGGTTAACATGATCTATTCGAATAGCCGGGTCCGCGGTTATGGACTTCTTGGATGCTTACATGGTACATAGACAACTTGAAATGGATACTATAAAATGCTCAAGACAAGTGTGAGTGCTATGGATGGCCTTCTCGTAGGGAGACGGGGATGAATCCATAGTAGTGTATTGTGTGGTGATTAGTGGACTCGTGTGCGCCATATCACCTCAAAGAAGTTCTGGTAGTCGTAGAACAGGATAGCCACTGAGTCAAAGCTGGCTTGCTGCAACTAAACCCCACATTACCCTCTTGATACACATGCATGTATGATAGGATCTGATGTAAGTCTTGCTGAGTACCTTTGTACTCATGTTGCTTTATTTATGTTTTTGCAGCGGAGACTTCGGTCTTACTAGTGTTCTCATGGACTTCGACAAGTAGCTTGTAC